AGAGAGAGAGAGAGAGAGAGAGAGAGAGAGAGAGTTGAAGGCGAAGTCAGGCCAGTCGGTGAAACCTTTGTTCAACCGGACCACCCTTCACCTTCGATTCTGAATCCTCTGCGTTTTAGCGAGATATGGCTAGGAAGACGCTACAACGACGAGATCCAACTAACACCAGCAAAGTTTCGTGACCGTTGCGGTCGAGCCCAGCAGCAGCCCCAGCTGCCCACTGGCATGGTTTTGCCTGGACGACGTCCAAGTCACTTAGAAGTCAGGACACGTTCACGAAAAAGCCCGACTTGAAAGTCGTCATTCCAGACGGAAGTTGAAGAAGCGTAACAATCGTTGTCGGATCCGTTGTATGTGAAACGATGATGAGCAAACAGGAGCTTCAAGTGAAAACCTCGACGTCACCGTCGTCCGCAAGGCGCTTTACACAACTGACTCAGAGCTGATAAGTTCAACCACCTCTCATGCTGCCGGGTAATACCAATCTACTATAGATCTATAGGAGTCCTAACTTAAGTACGGATCTACAGGAGTCCTACCTCAACTACGGATCTATCGTAGTCCTACCGGTTGTGCGAACGCTGCGAAGGCAGCGTTCCTCCCTCTTAACTAAAGAGATGAATATACTGAAAATAATCTTGGAGGGCACGACGGCGACGACGCGCTAATCTACCTGGAAGCCTGTGGAAGGTGCTGCACAGGCCAGCATATGAATAACATGATTGGATATCGAAAATCGTATCCAAAATAAAAGAAACTCTGAAAGAGCAGAAAGCTCTTCTAGATCAAATTGAATTTAAAAGACAATGACGCCATTAACGATAATATACACAAGGATCATTCATCACTTAGTCTATGCGAAAGGTGGACACTAACTACTACGTAGACTACTGTAGTATACAAAAAGTGGAGGCGAACTGCGTTCAAACGGTCGAAAAGGAGCCCTCCTCACTACTCGACAACGGGAGCCAAAAAACTGAGAAAAAGAAGCACTATCATAATGGCATTTCCATCAAATCCAGTCCTTTTGAATTACTCTTCCCGTGCCTTGAGATACACTTCACAAGGCAGTAACTGTTCTCTCGAGCGTTGAAATCTCCTTGAGGCTTGAACTCCGTCGCCACCCGGTCTCTGCTACAGTCTCCCCTCCACCCCACCTCGAATCTCTTTCTCTTTCTTGCGCTATGTGGCCAAGCAAGCAACCCCCCTGCCTTGCCCCAGATTGCTCATCTGTTAGTTAGATAGGTAACTTGGCGTGTTGGGTATCACCTATTCTTCTCAGACTGGCGGAGGATACTGCCGGGGAAGAGTGAGGAGGGAGTGGATAAGCTGAGAGAACAGCAGAGGGGCAGAGTCCCCTCTTGCTTGTTAAAGAGCAGGGACCACACGTCGACGTTCTTCTGGAGGTCTATCCTCCCTCCCCGCCCTCGTCTGGTGTTGAGCTATCAATGATGCCGAGTGACGATTCTTGCACAGTTTTTATCGTTTGGGCTGTTGTCGGAGGAGTAGAGGGGCCTTGCCGCATTACTGCCCACATTTGCGAAATGAAGGATGCTTCGTCCGCTAGAGCGAAGAAAGACATGCCAAGCCGCCGGCCATAGCTTTTGTCTTTTTCAGGTTTGGTGAGTGGTGCTGCGAGGCCCCACGCTCCCCAGAGTGGAAGGAGCAGCGGGCCAGCAGCCATGAGGGTGTCTGAAGAAATAACAAGGAAAAAGCTCCTCCTGTCGCCTGTCCACAGAACAGGAAAGAACATCTCGACGTGCTGCCTGTTACTCTACCGGCAGGCGTTCGTCGCTTGCGCGTCCACCTTGAACAGCTTGCCACCCCAGTCTCCCCTGAGTGTGTGTACCTCCACCGATCGCCCTTCGAGTGGAAGGCGAGAAGCGCAAGTGACGAGGATGCTCAGAATATGCTGAGAATGCTCAGACACTGATGTGGCGCTACCGACCCAGCCAGACTGCCAAAACGACTCAGGGCATCCCCACACCACTGTCGAAACGAAAACAGGAGGACTGCATCTGCCGCAGAAAGGGGTAACGATGCATCCGTTGCTATTCATAGTAATAGATGCATCTGGCGACGCTCTGCGTGAAGATGCACTGAAACTGTTTTCGTTTCGACGTTGGTGTGGCGAGACCCCCCCAGAAAGTATTTTCCGGGCACCTCACGGCGTTTCTGCAGCCTGGCTGGGACGGTGACGTCAGCAGGGACCGCTGTGCAAAAATGGCGGGAAAGTGATCCACCGGCCCAGCGGGGGTGCAAGAAGCACAGAAAGTTTTTTGGGGGGCCTCCCACCCGGCGCGTCCATTTTGCGGTGAAAATTTGATGAAGGTTTCGCCGCGGGGGGGATCAATAACTTTTGCCTTTTTTTTTCTTGRAACGGGTAGCATTATTGGATTTTTTTTTTTTTTTTGTTGGGGGGGGGGGGGGRGRCATTWTTKCWTTYTTTTTTTTKTTTTTCGATTTWTTTWTTTKTTTWTTTATAACGATTTTTTTCTTGGATGCGGTGCGTCTTTTTTYTTTTCTTTTTCTTTTTCTTTTTTCTCTCTCTAAAAGGGCCCAAATAGTCATTGACCTGACCGTCGCACAATGATTTGTTCTGGGGTCTAGTCCCACCTACAGCGTTGAGTTTTCTCAACGCTGAGCTTTCTATCACGTGCGCATGGTGGGACGGAGCTCTGCCGTTGATGTACTGCGATCTGATGGTGCCGAAATACAGGAGAATAACCTATTAGATTTTGTCTTTTTGTAGAATTTTTATTTGACGTGAAAACCGTTTTGTAGTATGCTTTGGCCCTTTTGGTTTGGGCGGGAAACCATTGTGCGTTGAGAAAACTACCCTACCGAGGGTAGGGTAGATTTCTCAACGGCCGTGCCTTTCCTTTTTTCGGTTTTTGAGACATCACTGCATCCTGAAACGGAGGAACTCTGACAGCTGTGTTTGGCCCTCTGGCATGAAACTCGTTTCCTTCTTTGGGCAATGAATGCATTTGGCCATTCACGTTGTCCCTGTCCATTTTACGAATGGTGACGTCCTGTCCCCTCACCACCGGGAGTAGACCTTTTTCACG